CCCCCCCCATTTTTCATCTAATGCTAAAGGTAAAGTAATACGAGCAACAAAATTGCAATTAATAATAGGATTAAAATTGTACCGTATGCACCTTCGCTACAGTTCACTTAGAGTTTTATTTATATACACTAAAATGTAATAATTATCGAGAGTTGATATTTGTCTTCAGCCAAGTGTTCTGTCTTTCTAATAGCTCGACGTTTAAACGAGCTGACATTATCACAAAAAAGTCGACGCGACTCGCGCGTGGCTTTTATTTTTTGCAAATTTGGACATTGCCAGTGGGTATATGCTATCTAGTAAAGATTATACTATCTAGCTATGTGGGAGAATGAACTCCATTCGTATATAATTCATTGCATAATAATAGTTAACGTTGCTATTCAATCACGATCCAGTGTGAGAATGTTCCATTGTCTTTATATAATTTTGAAAATCATACTGTTCTCCATGCCATCCAGTCGGGATCCAGTGATGAGAATGTTCCATTGTTTTTACATAATTTTGAAAATCCCACTGTTCTTCATGCCATCCAGTCGGGATCCAGTGATTGGAATGTTCCATTGTCTTTACATAATTTTGAAAATCTAATATGCTAATATGATCTCCTACTCGTGCTAATATGGTCTCCTTTGGCCCGTTTCATACGCCGTGCTTCACATGTGTCGAATACATTACAAACAATAGATAATGAAGCATTTCAGCTCATTATCTATTGTCTTTAATGTATTCGGCACATGTGAAGTACGGCGTATATGAAACGGGCCTAACTGCAAAGCAGCTGGCCTAAAAACGCTTTGTAGAAAAAAATGCTGTGTTCTTACTCTTGTTTACAAATCCCACAGCTCTCAAGTCCATTATTGTTCTCAATGATATTTAACTGCAAAGAGCCTATTTAGCATGTTTGTGCATGGTGGCATTTATCTTTAGCTGAATCAGGCCCTTCATCTACATTTGTGATGAGTTCCCTTGGGACTGCTTGAAGCACATATTTACTTAATGACCAACCGCATGACGAATAAATTACAGTTGACCTGACCAGTTTAGGCCGCATGAAGCATGTTTGCTGTCTGTGAAATCCTTCAAACTGTGTTGAAATTCAAGTGGAGTTCCCGTTAAACAAATCGAGAAGACGTGAAGTTTACTGAATGTGTTCGAGGTACCTATTTGGCGATGAAGTTTGCTGAAACACGGTACCATTTGGATGTATGCAGATTTCTGAAAAGGTTAACCAACTAGCTTCTTGACGTACAAGCAATATCTTGGTAAGTTTGCTAGAACGTTTTGATCGTTTGTTGATGTGTTTGCCTTGTTAAGTCTCGGTTCACACTGTCAAACTTTCTGTGATCACAGTGACAATTCTGCATTTTGGTAAGTTTAGTTACAAATCCTTCAAAACGTAGAATTTACCTATGCAAAATTCATACTGTGATCACAGATTTACTGTGGTGTACTTCGGTTGTTTGTTCGAAGAACAGCTGAATCTTCAGTAGGTATTTGTCAGCTATGCGCGGCATTAGGTGTAAAGCTGTGGTTTACAACTATGAAAGGTTTTGCAATCCCCATGATCAAATGTAGTCAAATCACTTCGAGTCAAAGAATTTTGATTGAAAATTGTATCTTTATTTGTCTGAAAGAGGCTTGCACAGTTACGCTCCGCTCGCTTTGATCAAAGAACCTCGATGTTGTAAACCAGTCTGGTATGCGCACTATCAAAGTTTCTGTGACTACAGTAGGAATTTTACATAGGTAAATTCTAAGTCTTGAAGGATTTGCAAGAAATGTTTGAGGAAACTGACTCGGTGTTTAACACCAAGTCAATTTCCTCAAACTTGTCTTACAAATCCTTCAAAACGTAAAATTTACCTATGCAAAATTCCTACTGTGGTCCCAGAAACTTTGATAGTGTAATCCAGGCTTAAAGTTAAAGTCTTGGAAGTTATATTTCAAATCCGCGCAATTTTGATCAAGTCCGAGGGGATGCCGAGGATTGGGTCAAAAGGAGAGGACTTGAAATCTAGTCCAGTGCGAATTGGAGGATTTGAAATGACATCTTGTACGAATAAATGACCACAAAGTGAGGTGAATTAATTTTGATCCAGTCCTACACACGGGAATCTCACATCTTGTAACAAGTTTGTCAACAAGTTGTCTTCGCACTGCTTGTCACGAGTTTGTAACAAGCTGTTAACAATTTGTAACAACCTTGTTGATATTATCAGGCTTGTTACAAGGTTGTTCCAACAAGTCCGATACAGTCATGATATAGCAGTATTGTTACAACCTTGTGTCGTCAACCTTGTAACATTCTTGTTTATCAGTCATGACTGCATGTATCAGACTTGTTGGAACAACCTTGTGACAAGTCTGATAATGCCATCAAGCTCGTTACAAGTTGTTAACAGCTTGTTCCAAACTTGTCACAACAACTGGGAACAAGCAGTGCGAACACAACTTGTCGACAGCTTGTGAACAGATTTGTAACAACTTCTTTGCAGACTTGCAACAACTTGTGCGTTTTTACGTGTGTAGATCAATATACTTCACGAGGTTATTATCATGTTAGCAAAATAAAGCAATAACATATGGTTGGCTAATTTACTCATGCATTATTAATGATTTGAGATAGAGGTTCACAGAGTAAGGTTCATAGAGGTCCACCCTAGGTTCACAGAGTAATCCACCCTTCACGCCAAGTTGCACAGCAAAAATTGACCACATCAGTTGAAATGGTGTAATATATATTATTTCATTCGTAACAACAAGTTCGCATATTAAGCAGTATAATTTGTTCATACCAAGACATACACCAGATCCACACTTCATGAAGTTGTTTTAGACTACAAGTTGCTATTCCTCATTAAACAAAACATTAAACATCTATAACCCAGGGTCTTATGAGCTCGCTTGGGCAGAGAGATTTAGATTTGACAACCACTACGTTTCACCACAAAATCGGAAAGTATAGCAGAAGTGTAACTTGAGTCGATGCCTTTGTTGTTTTACCTCCACGAAAATTTTAACTCGTTCACGCCAATCCACGCCATCCTGGCTAGTACAGCCGGAAGTTTTTATAAGGTTTTGGTAGGTACAAAGTGCCGGTTGTACTAGCCAGGATGGCGTGATTGTTGACGAAGCGCTTGTAAAAACGCGGACAAATCTTGCTTGAGTGAGACTTCTGGTATACCTTCCTATTCTGTGGTTTCACTGACTAAGTACGCATGTGATTGGTTAATCGGATAGATTAAGCGTATCTGATTGGCTAAATGGTTCGTTCAATAGTGGAAGTCAAATCAAAACCTCGAAGCTTATTATATTGGATATTGAAAAAATGGCTAATAGGTGCATACCTAAAGCTATAGAATTGCGCCAAAAATTGTTCATTTTCATCAAAACGGTAATGATGAGAAATGTTAAAGGGGGCACATTGTTTCCTGCCAATGTTTCGCCATGATTCCCAGAGTGGGCAAACACTAAGAAACATTAGTAAGAAACATAGGGAAACATCAAATGTTTCTGAATTCGCCAGGAAACATTTTTGCTTCTCGGGAAGCAAATTTTGTTTCCGCAACAATGTTTCCACGGGTGGGCAAACAGGGAAACATGTTTCCTAGTTTGCCCAGGGCTTAAGAGTGATGTTTTTCAAATTTGAATTAGCCATTCTCGCGCCGCCATTTTTGGGGTACTTTTTTGCCAATCCTGCGAGCGTAACACCACGTAACGGCGACATTTTATAATTTTGTGGGTGTATGATGGTAAATTTACTCTGTAAATAGTTAGTTTGTTCTGAAATATTGCTTTTCACATTGTTATAATCGTTTACGAAAAATTTCAGTACCCCAAAAATGGCGGCGTGAGAAAGGCGGATCTAGAGGTGAGGCTTGCCCCGTAACAGGAGTTTCATATGAACAAGCTCAGATATATTCTATGTAATTCAAGTAGCCCATTACCATTCCGATTCAAACTAGAGTATATATAAGTTACACATGCAGATATTCTTTCTCACATACAAGACTGTCCAATTCTCAACTTAAAATATTATAATGCCGGTCGTCTTCCGCTACCAAGGTAACGACTTGCGTGCCATCCGGCATGTCCTCGGGATATGACGCTATGAAGTCGGACTGTCCGAAGTGGGATGGTCGTACTACTTTTATCGTGACGCCGAGTGTGTAGCCAAGCAGGTGCATTTCGACCTGGAAAATCATAATAAAATATGCAGTGTTATTTGTGGTTTAGTTCGTGTTACGGGCATCGTCAACGTTGACACTTAATGAGCAAAAAAATAAATCCGATTGGCCACTAGGCAGGGGTGGAAAAAGTATCGGACCACGGGACCATTGGTCCCAGAAAATTTTTGAGTTTCCAGAAAATATTTCCCCAAGAAAGAAAAATTGTAATGATTTAGATATAAGGAGAAATTCAGAGGAAAATTCACTTCACAGTCTAACATCGACAAACAAAAGAACTTCACAGTCTAACATCGACAAACATGCATGGTTGGAAAAGACTTGCTCAAAAAGTTTCAATTTCAAACCCACTTTTTGGCATTTGTAAGCGAGAATGAAAAATCTTGAAACTACTGCCAGCTTTCTCATCGAAGTAAATCTTTAACTGATAAATACTTTTTCAACCATATCAGTATATCATTTCTGACCTGAAAAGGCCTGAACATTAAACAAAGAATATCCGGTCGGATATTGGATAGCGGATAATGAGATCAATCTCACCATCCGGTCGGATATCATATCCGGTGCATCCCTAATGGCCAATTGTGAAAACGCACAATGACAATGTGGAACTGATGGAGATATGCAGTATAAAGGCGCATTTCCACTCAGGAAAATTTTCCGCAGAAACAAAATTTTGTATTGGCCGACACAAATTTTCCGAGAAAAAAATTAAAAATTTTTTTTTTTAATTTTGAAATTGAAAATTTCAATTTTTAACAATGATATTTTCGGAAACCTTTCTGTCCGTGGAAATTTTTCTTTCGTGGTAATTGGCCTTAAAACCAGCTATTCCCTCACCTGTTCCAAGCCTCCAGTATCACCGACAGCATTCAAATGCTTGGCCATAAAATGCCAGGGATCCTGAGAAGTATCTCTCGCAAACATAATCATCGCAAAGATAGGCACATCTTCATTAGCTTTGACCTTTCTATGTAGCTGGATGGCTCTGTAAAACATGAGGAATTTGACCGCCTCGAGCCATCTGATTTCAAGCTCAAGTGGTGTGAAGTTGAATTTGGACAAAAGATGAGTGACCCGTCCCTCTTCGTGACTCATTTGTGCGTTCAAGTTGACCTAGATAATGGTAAGAACAGTTAATACAGGTAGACACGTAAAAATCTCACAACTTTTGTCAACAAGATGTGTTCATAACAGGCTTGTAGCAAGCTTGTCAACAAGTTGCAACAATGCTGTTATTTCATCAAGTTGCTACAAGGTTGTCACTCACAACTTGTCAACAAGATATGTTCGCAACAGGCTTGTAGCAAGCTTGGCAACAAGTTGTAACAATGCTGTTATTTCATCAAGTTGCTACAAGGTTGTCTCGCAACTTGTCAACAAGATGTGTTCGCAACAGGCTTTTAGCAAGCTTGTCAACAAGTTGTAACAATGCTGTTATTTCATCAAGTTGCTACAAGGTTGTCACTCACAACTTGTCAACAAGATATGTTCGCAACAGGCTTGTAGCAAGCTTGTCAACAAGTTGTAACAATGCTGTTATTTCATCAAGTTGCTACAAGTTTGTCACTCACAATTTGTCAACAAGATATGTTCGCAACAGGCTTGTAGCAAGCTTGTCAACAAGTTGCAACAATGCTGTTATTTCATCAAGTTGCTACAAGGTTGTCACTCACAACTTATCAACAAGATACGTTCGCAACAGGCTTGTAGCAAGCTTGTCAACAAGTTGTAACAATGCTGTTATTTTATCAAGTTGCTACAAGTTTGTCACTCACAACTTGTCAACAAGATGTGTTCGCAACAGGCTTGTAGCAAGCTTGTCAACAAGTTGTAACAATGCTGTTATTTCATCAAGTTGCTACAAGGTTGTCACTCACAACTTGTTGACAAATTGTTGAATTGCAGGACGATAACAAGTTGTTGGAACAACTTGTAACAAGTCTGTTGAGCTCAACAACCTTGTAGCAAGTTGTCAACAAGCTGGGAACAAGCAGTGCGAACACATCCTGTTGACAAGTTGTTGGAACAGCATTGCTACAAGTCTGCTGCAGGTTTGTTACAATTTGTGCGTTTTTACGTGTGTAGTTTTCCTAATATACCGTAATTTTCGCAAACATACAAAAAAAAATTTTCCGGATATATCTTAATTTTCCACAAAATACTTTCTCATTCCCTGAGAAATACCTGAATTTACCTGAAAATCTTCTGGAAATCTACCTGAATTTACCTAAAAATCTACTGGAAATCTACCTGAATTTACCTGAAAATCTTCTGGAAATCTATCTTAATTTTCCACAAAATACTTTCTCATTCCCTGAGAAATTACCTGAATTTACCTGAAAATCTTCTGGAAATCTACCTGAATTTACCTAAAAATCTACTGGAAATCTACCTGAATTTACCTGAAAATCTTCTGGAAATCTACCTGAATTTACCTAAAAATCTACTGGAAATCTACCTGAATTTACCTGAAAATCTTCTGGAAATCTACCTGAATTTACCTAAAAATCTACTGGAAATCTACCTGAATTTACCTGAAAATCTTCTGGAAATCTACCTGAATTTACCTAAAAATCTACTGGAAATCTACCTGAATTTACCTGAAAATCTTCTGGAAATCTACCTGAATTTACCTAAAAATCTACTGGAAATCTACCTGAATTTACCTGAAAATCTTCTGGAAATCTACCTGAATTTACCTAAAAATCTACTGGAAATCTACCTGAATTTACCTGAAAATCTTCTGGAAATCTACCTGAATTTACCTAAAAATCTACTGGAAATCTACCTGAATTTACCTGAAAATCTTCTGGAAATCTACCTGAATTTACCTGAAAATCTTCTGGAAATCTACCTGAATTTACCTGAAAATTTTCTGGAAATCTACCTGAATTTACCTGAATATCTTCTGGAAATCTACCTGAATTTACCTAAAAATCTACTGGAAATCTACCTGAAATCGGCTCATGAGCAACACCCCCCGGTCGCTACGGCCCTGGCCATAGATATCTTATATACACTAGATGGCGCATCTCTTAGTAAAATTGAAGCCAAGAATATTCCAGCGGTTACCCCTATTTGAATAGATGGCGGCCATGTTGGTCGTTCCCACTTGCTAATAAACGCTTAAAAACAACAATAACTTTCATCATTTGAATAGTTTAAAAATGTATTTGGAATAGGGTTTACTTAATGTTTAAGTTCCCTGTTTAAGAAATAGAAAACATACGAATCTTCTCATTTCATGGGAACGACTTGAGACTGCAATCACG